GCTTTTGGACGACAATAGGGAGTTGTTTGTCACAGAGTTGAATACTGTGGTAAAAGCTCATAAATCATTTCGACTGTTCGCAACACAAAATCCCGTTTCAACTTACGCGGGGCGAAAGCCACTGTCTAGGGCGTTATTAAATCGCTTTATCGTTTTAAGATTTGATCACCTTCCTTTTAGTGAATTGGCTCAGATAGTAGTGGCCAGGTTAAATCTGTTTTTATATTGAAACACTCAATCGTTTTATTTATTTATTGTTTAAAATAAGTTATTTTGAAACGTTACGGGAAATGAGGGTTAACAGTGCAAACTGCTGTGAATTTTTATCCTTAAAAGTTCCTTTTTGTCATTTTTTAACTTTTGGTATTTTAGTTAAAGCTACTGTTTTATTAAGGTGTGGAATTCCCGAATCTGCGGCGAAAAAAATGGTTTCTGTTTTATGTGAGTTGCGTGCTCTTCGTAGTTCATCAAGCGTTTTTTTTGCAAGAGATGGTTTAATGACATTGAGAGACGTGTTCCGTTGGGCGAAGAGGTTGGAAAAGTCTGAGTGTACTGACTGGTTGCAGTGTTTGGCAGACCATGGTAATTTTATTCGTTTTTATTGCGATCAGAGCTTTTTGGGCTTTAAAACTTGTTATTATTTGGTTGGTCTCATTTTACCAGCTGTTTACTTCATGGCTCTGCTTTTAGGGTACTTTCTTTTGGCTGCACGGTGCCGGAACAAGAATGATGAAGAATTTGTAACTAGAACACTTGAAAAGCACCTTAAACGGCAAATAAATGTTGAGGAGTTGTTTACTTTAAGCTCCAAATATATGCCCTCCAATGTTCAGAATATGATTTCCTCAAACATTGCATGGACTTATGCTATGAGAAGAATGGTTGTTTTAAGCACTCAGGCGTGGAACTGTGATGAGCCTGTCCTTTTGGTCGGAGAAACAGGATGCGGGAAGACTACCGTTGCGCAGATTATTTCTCAGGTCGACCACGATTCTAGATTTTTTTGACTCTTTTTGTAATTTCTGGTTTTTAGGGGAAACTGTTATCGATGAATTGTCATGAAGCAACTGAAACAGCAGATTTTCTTGGTTCCTTGCGCCCTGTGGGAGATGGTTCTTTTCGTTGGTTGGATGGCATAGTTGTACAAGCTATGAAAAAGGGAAAGCCGCTTTTAATTGACGAAATATCTTTAGCTGCAGATTCGGTTGGTTTACCGGTTTACTTTGATTTGACTAAATCATGGGTAGTTGTTTTTTCGCCTTATTCCGCTTGTGCTTTCTTTCTCTGTCATTTTAAGGGGTTTTCTTTGGGTATTTTTTACTGCCTCTGAGTTTGGGAGGTTAGTGCAAGCAGCTGTATTGATTGGTATTCGAAGCATGGTGGTGTACCTGAAAATAGTATTGTTTAAGTTTATTGTTCACAAACTGGTTGCCGTTTTTGAATTGATCTTACTTTTGCACTATGGTTTCTCTTTATTTCTTTCTCATTTGAAATAGAAATGTGTATTTACGAAGTTGTGCATCAGTATCAACTGGTAGTTGCAGCAGCCGTTGAGCCGGTTAGAATAGGTTAATGAAACTTGCTCTGAGTTAGGCTTGGGGTTGAGAAGTAGTTTTGGCAGTTCGTTTTTGAGGAGTACAGATAGAGGTATGATTAACAGGTCTTTTCGCTTGATTTTTTGAGATACCAAGGCTCACACTTTGGATCAGCTTAAAGTTTTTCCTGAGGGGTTTTTTGCTTTGAATTGCAGCTTTTATTTTCTCAATGTATTCAAAGAAGTGTCGAACGCATCCTTTTGCAGAATCTTTTAAGATTAGCAAAAATCTAAATAGCGAAAGCGCTGTGAAAGGATGTAACAGCTTTGATCTACTTCACCATTTTAAAGTACTCAACTGCTAGCAGTGAAATTTGTTGGAAAAAAACCTTTTTCGTTATGAATGTATTAAATCCTTTACTACACTGGTTTATCAGCATTGTATGTCTGTTTTGATTTTAGGTTTTAGAACGCCTGAATCCTTTGTTTGAACTGTCTAGAACTTTATTACTAACAGATTCTGGTACAGTAGCAGAAGAGGTACAAGCGCAACAAGGTTTTGAGATAATTGCGACGATGAACCCCGGTGGGGATTATGGGAAGAAAGAGGTAAATGGTTGTTCAGAGGGCGGTTATTTTAACATTAAATTTACTATTGAAGTAATTAGATAGACCTCTTATCACCTTTTTACGCGTTTTAAACTGTTACTATTTGTACTATAGAACGAGGGATCATGTTTTAGTGGTAGAGTTATCTACGGTTCAAAAACTCTGGTTTTTCTTCAGCAAACGTGTGGTTTATTTTGCTCCAATGAATTTGTGCTTACATTTATTTGTTTACTCGTGCCGTAGATTACTTCATCGTTTAATTTCTTATTAAAGCCTTTGTTTTACTACTAGTTTAGATTCAGGAATACTTGATGTTCTTCAGTTGTCGAAGGCACTACGAAATCGCCTGACTGAAATTTGGTGCCCTACTGAGTTCAGTAAAGAGCAAATTGAGGAAGTTATTGCCTGCCGACTTCAGAATTTTTCAAGAATTAGTACGGAAAAAAATGAGGTCATGTCTTGTATGATGGAGTTTATAGCCTGGTACTCGAACAAGTTTTCACACATTTTTCGGTTAGTTTCTAGATTTGTTACGTTCTTTTTCTGCCATTGGAGCTCTTGTCGATTGACGGCCCCATATATATTTGAGGAGGGGCCTCGAAAAAGCACCTGTTTAGAAGCAGCTATTTTCAGATGCGTTATTTCTATCAGAGATGTAGTTGCAATCACGGAACTGTTTACTGCTTGCTCCTCAGTGACCTCAGTCAGCTCTGCAGTGTTTCATGCTTTTTCTGCAACTCTTTTTGATGCTATTGGTGTTGTTCCGGCCAGAGTTTCTATTGACAGTAATGCTGTGAGGCAGGAATGTTGTGCAAAGGTTTTTCAACAATACCTCTGTCTTTAAAATTTTTTCCAGTATACTGAAATTTTCGGAGAGTACAAATGAATTCCTTTGTAGTTGAGATTTCTTCCTATGTTTTTGTGTCAACTTCTTTATGTTGTAATTCTGTATCATTTGTTTCTCTTCTGCTTCGTTACTTTTGTCTCATTTGCATCAAGAAGCGTTGTGTAGTAATAACCTTTGTTTCGAAAGAATGTTATTTCTCAACGTTTAGCTCCTGACGATACTCAGAAATTCTGCCGTGTCTGGTTCATGTGATGATATTTGTGTTGATGAAAGAGCTGTTTTTATATCTCCGGATGGCGTTCTACATGCAGGTGAATTTTCGTTTTCTGGAGGGCCTCTGCCGTATTCTCTCCCAAAACAGTTTTCGTTTGAAGCGCCGACATGCAAACAGAACCTTTACAGGTAATTGAAGTTTACTTGAAAATTAAATTTTACTCACCCCAGAAAAAGTTTTACAGGTTGGCGCGGTCGTTAATGATTGATAAGCCAGTGTTGTTGGAGGGCGCACCGGGTAGCGGGAAGTCCAGTTTAATAGTTGCTTTGGCTGCACTGACTGGCCACACCCTAACACGTTTGAACCTCTCCGACCAAACGGTGATTTTGTAATTTTTCTTGCTTAGTTCAAAATAGGGCGATGAAGAGAGCGTGTTGTTGTCACATGTTAACAGGAAGGGAGTTTCATGTTTTATTTTGTCTTACAAAGAGGACAGCTGAATTATTTGGATTTTGCTGCAAATGGGTTCTTTTGGTTTTTTATTTTCTCTTCGTGTAAAGTGTAACTGAAAGATAAAAGAAACAAAGAAATGTTAGGTGGTTTCCAGTAGACATAAGGGAGTTTTTTATGCATGTCAATGTCTTTGTTGGAGGAAGATAGTGAGCTTTATACAGTAGGTTTTTGAACTTCAAATTTCGTATTGCTTACGTGCAAAAAAGTTGTAGGAATTAAGTGACCTTTTCGGCATGGATCTTCCTGCAGTGTTAAGTGACGGAACTATTTCTTTTTCTTGGAATGATGGCCCAGTATTAAAGGCAATAAAGGAGGGCCACTGGATTTTACTTGATGAGGTATTATTGTTTCCGCGTGTTTGCAGTGTAACTGGTGCACGTTTCTTTCTGCTTCAATTTGGTTTAGGTCGCAGACAACGAAAATAATTAAATAAAAAAGAATTTAAGATGAACTTGGCTTCCCAAAGTGTACTGGAAGGGCTAAATGCGTGTCTCGACTATCGTCAGCAGCTTTTTATTCCAGAATTGAATCGAACTTTTGATATTGGTGATCACGGTTCACGTGCTAGGTTTTTTGCCTGTCAAAATCCTAGTTCCCAAGGTGGGAATCGTCGTAATCTCCCAAAGTCATTCTTGAATCGTTTTACATCTGTAAGTTTGATTTCTTAATTAATGAGGCAGTTTTGCAATGTGTTATTTCTGTCACTTTTTGAAATTATTGTCTTTCGCCTGCTGCTGTAATGAGGCTAACTTTACAGCTTCTTTGCGGATTTCACTTGTTAGTATGCTTTAAGATTTATATCAGAGAAATGAATGAAGACGATGAGATTTTTATACTCTCGAAAGCGTTTGAGTTACCGATGGAAATGATGAATGCTATGGTGTCTGTAAAAAAAGCGCTTGTAAGGAAAATGTTGGAAGACGCTGATTTTTGCGCACGGGGACGTCCTTTTGAGTTTAACCTCAGAGACTTGCTACGCTGGGGTCAGCTTACGTCTGAAGTAAAAATTTTACTTTGTTACTTTATTTTTTTGATGTAGTTTTTAGTGGTTAGTATGGCGGCATGAGCAGTTCTTTTAGTGTCATGACTTCGGCTACTCCTTCGAGTTGCTGTTTCTGGCTCGTATGCGAACGTATAGCGATCGTAGTCAGGTAAGCGAAAAATCAGCAATTACATTAAAATTGTTTGTTTCTTTTACTCAGTTCTTATTGTTGTTGTAAAAAACGTTTCAAATTAGGCGAAAGCGATCTTCAAGGAGAAGTTTGGCTTTGATTGTACACCTTCGGTTCCCGCATTACAGCTGTCTGAAAATTTCGTGAAGATCGGTAAAATCCAGCTTGCGCGAAATAAATTGCTTTATTCTGATTTGTAAGTTTGTATTAGTTTTTTTCGTCGCATTTACTATTTTCAACATTGGATTTAACAGAGACGTTTCAGGAAACTCCTCTCCTCACAAATGCCTTTGCTTGAAAGACTTGCGGCATGTGTGAAAATGAATTGGCTTGTATTGTTAGTAGGTGTGAGAGAAATTGGGAAGTTATCAGCAGTAAAGAATTTAGCTGCACTGACCGGTAATCATCTGCAGAGCATGAGGGTAACATCGGAAACTGATGCACTGGAGCTTTTAGGTTACTTTGAACAGGTATTTCGTATGTTTTAACTTGAGCGTGCCTTTTCGCTTACCGATTGCGTTGCTTGTATAGCCTTGTGAGGTAGATCTTCTATCAGTCAGACATGTTAATCTTAAATTTAAATGCTTTGTTTATAAATAAAACGGGTTCATTTTACCGCCCTTTATTGGACTTATCTTGCACTTTGAGTTTTTGCAGCTATGATAAAAACCGAAATTTTTAAATTTTTACTTTAACCGATATTAGTAGGTATTTTTTGAGGGTATAGGTGTTTTTGAGCTCTTGTAATGTCAAGGTTTTTCACTGCAGATAGTGGATTATTTTAATTTCAATGGAATTCGTGAAGAAGCTCTGGAACTTCTATCTGCCACACCATTTGTTAAGGAGATAACAGAGTGTGACGATCCTGGCACTCTTTCAACAATTTTAGAGGCGGCATCGTTTTTGGTGGATCAAGGTGAGGCTGTTGCTTGAAAAGATTGAAAGAGTGTGCGATAACCTCTAGCGCGGTAACATAGTAAAACATTTCTTTTTGATTGATTTGTTACTTTGAGATCGTTTCTTAAAAAGGAATAATTAATCACTGAATATTTGGCTAATGGGGAAGGTAGAATAGTAAAACTGCTATTGCTTTGTAATTTCTGCTGTTGAAAAAGATTCGTTGCGAATGATTTACGTGTATTTTTGTTTCTCTTCGAAGGTCAGGTCCAATTAGTTCGGTAAGTAATTTCTCTTCTTTTTTTATGAACTTCACTTGAGAACTGTCGATAACTCGTTCTACTTTATTTTGCTACGTATTCGTTTCGCTACCTCTTTTTACATTTCAGGTGAAGCAACCAAATTACTCGATCTTGCTTCACGTATAGGTAATACTTCGATGAAATTCTGTTGGAAAAACAGTTTATTTCTGGATTCTTATGTAAACGGTGGCTGGATTGCTATCGAAGATGTCAACTGCTGCAGGTAGCGGAAAAGTGTGATCTTGATAGTGACATTTTTATATACACTACCCTTAGCTTTTCTAGTGCTGCTGTTTTGGATCGATTAAATGTTTGTCTGGAGTCTAACGGGGAATTGATGTTGTCAGAAAAAGGTGACAATGAGAAAGTTTTGAAGGCGAATC